TCCTGCTGATGTTAATGGTTTGGTCTTTGTATCCCTTTAGATTGCCTGGTTTTTGCAAATCACTATGGGCACCACTGCCACAGAGACCCTGGCTGTGGCAGGAAACATCTTTGTGGGTATGGTAAGTACTCTAAGGATTTCTGATCTTCCTTTTTCTGGAGAACAAAGATTATGGCAGAAAACAGGTTGAGAAAAGTGTTTTCCTTCTGAAAAGTCAAATATATGAAGAGTGTATGGGCAGGCAATCGCTGATGAAAGAAAACCCAGAAGCTCAAAGGAAACTCAGCTCATTGCTTTTACCATTCATGTATGATTATACTTACCTGAGCATACTTAATGTGGGCATCCTTAACCACCCATCCAACTTCTTACACAGGAATTTAGGGAAACAGCCTGCTCCAAATCTTATCCCCCTGCAGGGGTAATGAAGAACGTTTGCTCTATGTTCTGGTTTCTCCCTGTGATCCTCATTTTCTGGGGCCTCTAAGAAGGCAACAGCTTGCTTAGGGCTTATACCAAGGCTCTTCCCCATAATACTTGCTTGATAGATTTATGTGGAGTAGGTGCTCAGTATATGGTATTGACTGATTAGCTCAATGTTAGGGACAATGGCTTGTCAAATTAACAAGGAGTTAGTATTGAGATCTTTCGTTCCCCAGGCCCTGGGCCGATTAGCTGTTTCTGAAATGTTCCCAGAGTACTTTTGCATACTTCTACACAGTGCTCTGTGTTTTGCTGAAATTATCCATAATCATCTTAGTTTCCTCTGCTAGAATGTAAGCTCCCAAGAGTAGCAACTTTGCCTTGTTCACATTAATATCCCTAGCATCTAGTACAGCACTGGGTACACAGTTGTCACTCATTAAATAATAAATAACATTATTTTAGGTTGATACTAGATATTGTTTACATAGTTGGGTCTTCATAATTTCATAACATTTTCACAAACATTTCTTTTGATTCTTTCATCAACACTGGGCTTCAACCAGCTATTTGTAATTCATTTAATGAATACTTTTTAAACAATTAATATGTACTCAGTAAGTGAACTGTACTCCATAAGGTCATTCATTAAGTATATGGTTTTAGACAGTGAGAACATACAAAAGAGATATACCATTTCTCTTCTGTAGTATTTAAAAATTTAAATAGGTGAGACAAACACATGAAAACAGAGAAGAACAACGCCAGCCAGTATACGATTAGGTGCCAGAGAAAGTGGGGCAGATGCTGGGAGGGCCTAAGAGCAGAGCTCGGTGCTACGAGGGTATCCACACTAGAAGAATGTATCCCTGGGGTCAAGGTGGGCACTTTGGGGTGGGGAGTCACAGCCTCTTGAATCTGACTCACTTCTCCTTGTTTACAGACAGAGGCACCTCTGCTCATCCGCCCATACCTTGCAGACCTGACGCTCTCTGAAATCCATGCAGTGATGACTGGAGGGTTTGCCACCATTTCAGGCACTGTGTTTGGAGCCTACGTATCCTTCGGGGTAGGCATAATCTGTTTGATCACCCTTGAGTGAGCCTTTGTCTGGGTTCTGTAGATGCTGATTCCTAAATCTGGCCTTATAGATTGATGCATCATCCTTGATTTCTGCCTCTGTGATGGCTGCACCTTCTGCTCTTGCCTTATCAAAGCTGGTATATCCAGAAGTAGAAGAGTCCAAGTTCAAGAATAAGGAGGGGGTAAAATTGCCCCGTGGGTGAGTCCAATGAGGCATATAATTTGGGAGATGGTGAGGTCTGGTGTAGAGTCAAGAGTAGTGATTGTGGTGACAGAGGCTTCGAGTCTCCAGGAGAAGGAATAATGTGATTCTCTGTCCCCACTTGTCTACCTCTGCCTCCACCTAATCATGTTGATTTTCTTTGATTGTTTAACCTTCCCATCCACCTCTATCTTCTGCAGGCCAGTATCCTCTGTCCTTGGTGTTAGTGCAATTTCGTAGCAATTAAATCTGATATTGCTTCAATGTAATTCCCACCCAAAAGGTCACTAAGGAACCCCTATCACCTCTCAAGCTGGTCTTGCACCCTCTTCCTGAGCTCCTACACCGCAGAGAAGGTTCCTCTTCTCTGAGAGGCTGAGACTAATCCAGACACCATATTTTTCTCCTATGCCAATAACCACAGAAAAGAAAAGAATGTCCTGGAAGCTGCCAGCAATGGAGCCACAGATGCTGTAGGCCTTGCTACTAATGTAGCTGCCAACCTGATTGCCTTTTTGGCTGTGTTGGCCTTCATCAATGCTACCCTCTCCTGGCTAGGGGAATTGGTAGACATACAAGGGCTCACTTTCCAGGTAAAAAATTACATTTATTGGGCTGTGTTTAAGTAGTCTTTGAACTATGCATGTCCTCCTGACCCACAGCGAGCTAAAAGACAGCATGGATAGAAGGGTGGAGGAGACTGAGTTAAGGCTCCAGGAAAAGTCTGGGTCCTGACCTGTGGTATTCTTTCTTTTCCTGGGACATCTCTTTCTTTTCACCTAGGTGATCTGCTCCTATATTTTAAGGCCCGTGGTTTTCATGATGGGTGTGGAGTGGGCAGATTGTCCAACGGTGGCTGAGATAGTGGGGATAAAGTTCTTCACAAATGAGTTTGTGGCCTATCAGCAACTGTCTGAGTACAAGAACAAACGTCTCTCTGGAGTGGAAGAATGGATCGGGGGTGAGAAACAGTGGATTTCTGTAAGTGACAATCCAGAAAAGCGTAAATTGTTTATGAGCAGACAGAAAGTGTTAAACAAAAGTTTGTTTCACACTCATGGGTCCGTTCCGTTGTTCCAGGCCTAACTACAAAGCAAGCGTAACACTATGCTTAGCTCCAGTGCCCAAGCTGCTTGGAGGTGTGTGTGCTATTCCTCCCCCACTCTCTGACCCAACCTCTCTCTATGATGTAATTGTTGGGTCTTTACAGCTGGGGCAGCTCAGGGTGGACACTATTTTTGATGGATGGCCGAAGTTCCCCTTCTTCATTTATAAGTTTAACTTGCTATAAACTAATCTCTCTTTACTCTCTCTCTGCCTTTATCTTCCCTCCCAATCATCCTCATTCCCAGGCCTTCTCCTTATTCATAGGTTTCAACAAGAAGAGTATTGGGAAAGAGGCCCCTTGTGGTTTCCATATCATTATTCCCGTAATAACTTAGAACGTGATTATTTTCTGAGCACCTTTTCCATATTCCTTAGGGTAGTGTGGACAAGATTAGGTGTTCTAAGATGTCTGGAACTTCCCTGTGAACACACGACTGCATACATGGGATTGAATTTATTTACTTATTTCTTTTTGTTTTCCCTAGGTGAGAGCTGAAATCATCACAACATTTTCACTCTGTGGATTTGCCAATCTTAGTTCCATAGGAATCACACTGGGAGGCTTGAGTGAGTTAATTCATTTTCCCAGCTATCCAATAAGCCAGCCAGATTCCACCTTCTGTGGTAGGCAGTCCTGGTGCTTTGGTACAAGCTGAGACCAGATAAAGAAGCTGATGTGAAACTGGCCCAGTCAGATGGCAGTTAAATTGAAGTTAAGGCAACCATTCTACCTGACTATATATGGAGTCCGGGCTGGGTTTACAATCGCAACTTATGTTAATTTTTTCCCTTTTGATAAGATGCCCAAAAGACCAATTTTATTTTCATTTTCCCTTTGAGGAAGATTATAATAATATTATTTTTATTTTGCCATTAAATGGGCATGGTGTACATATAAGTAAAGATATTTTGTTTTTTATTCAGTAGCGAAGGTGTTTTCTGAAATTGGGCTGCTTACCGGTTGACTTCATAGAAGTAGGAGTTGCACAAGGAATCAAAAGACAAATAAAAGCATCAGATGCACAAGGCAGATAAATAGTAAGAGGGAGGGGTATGAAGTGTTGGATTAAAAGCTACAGATCTCCATGTGTGGGAGAAGTGAGTATTTGAAGCAGACACAGATACATTTACACTGCTGAATGCATTGCTGAATGTGGGTGAGGGCTGGAGGAAATAACATGAGGAAAGTGGAGGAAACATGAGGAAAGTGGAGTTGTCTTTGAGCATAGGAGCAGGGAAAATGACTAGCAGATTCCAAGAGATTGAAAGATGCAAGTTAGAAACAGTATAAGAAGAAATACAGCTCGGTATGTCTATTTTTTTATAGTATTCATATTCTGGGGGAGAATCATTAAGTTGATTTATTTGGTAGCCGATTGAACAATTGAAAGGTAAACAATCTTTTTTCAGTTTATCTTTTTCCCTTTTGTTAAATACTTGTCTGTACTGTTGTAATTCTGATGCCTGATTACTGTCTGATCATGAGAAGGCCATCTAGTAGTGGGATGTGCATCATGTGACTAAATGTTGCCCTCTTTATCGCTCTGGCTCAAAACAGTCCATTTAATTCTGGTCCCAGTCTAAAACTGCAGATGTGCCTGTTTGGAGCAACCTGCAACTTTGCTTGATCCAGATATATATTGGGAATGTTCCTGGAATCACTGAAGTTAGGGTCAGACACAATCTTTGACCTGGGAATGTCAGTGTTAGTGACCCATCAGGACTAATGCATATCCATTACTGCTTAGGGTACTGCTGGCCAGCCTCTCTGGTGGTTAGTGGTAAAAATGCTATTCATCTGCTGCGTTTTGTTCTTCTGCATTCTTCTAAATGGGGGGCTCATGGGGTATACTTGTTGTCTGGTGGGAAAGAGATCAAATTATTTTATTTTGTTGTCTGCAGCATCGATAGTACCCCACCGGAAGAGTGACTTGTCCAAGGTTGTGGTCAGTGCCCTCTTCACAGGGGCCTGTGTATCCCTTATCAGTGCCTGTGTGGCAGGTAGGTACCTCAGCTTAGTCTCTTGGCAGAAATCTCTTACTTATATTCTGACAAGATCTCTCTCAGAATATTGATTTAACTATCCATCTCACAGATGCATAGAAAAGGCACCTAATCTACAATATTCTCAATTCACACCCAAATTATTAAGAGCCTCCAAGAACATGTATAAAATCTTCCCTTAGTATCTCTGTCTCCTTTATCCAGGAATCCTCTATGTCCCCAGGGGAGCTGAAACTGACTGTGTCTCCTTCCTAAACACAAGTTTCACCAATAGAACCTATGAGACCTATGTGTGCTGCAGAGGGCTCTTTCAGAGGTGAGTGAGCCCCAGGATTCCTGTTCCCTCCTCTCACTTGCTATCCTCCACTCAGAAATTATCTGGGAGTGGGAAGAAATAAGGTCTTGAGAATAATCATGTGGATGCTGAATACAGTGTTTACGAAGGACGATGGGTATTTGTGGTGGTCTAGGTCTATGTTCTCTTTTATTAGATGCGTCCTCAGTATTCTCTTTAGTTTGAACAAGTGATAGATTTTACCTATATTGGTGCGGTATTGAGAAGTGGAGGTACAGGGGAAGAAGTACAGAAGTGTGGTTTTCCTGATAAGAAGACACTGTATTTATTGTGATTGGAATATAGATAGGTTATAAGTGAAGACTTGGCAATAATCTTAAGTGGCTAAAAAATTATGGGCTTCTTCAGACAGAAATGATGACCGAGAGAGGATAAAGTCGAATTGATAAAATCACGATGCATTCAGACAGTGTAAACATGAACTCATTTACCAATTTCTGGGATGTTATATTCCTCATGTAAAGAACTTGGAAGTCACCGTTCTATTCTAATGACAAGTGAAAAACTAAACAATCTGAAAAATCAGTAATTCTTCTTGGATTCATAAGAGAGGTGAGGATATAGGGCAAGATTGGAGAGACAGGTGAATACAGGGAGTTACGGAGAGAGGTGGATACAGGGAGTCATGGTTACTGGAGCAGAGACTCACGAGTGGAAAATGCCACAGAAAGCTATGCAGGGGTAAGAAAACCTGAAACTTCAATGGCTGGAGGCTTAGTGGGGACAAACTCTGGGGTGGGGGCAGTCATAAGGGTGAAATCTTTGTGAGTTTTACCTCCAGAAGCTAGATCAGGTTCTCACAGTAAATAACCAGCAAAAATGCCCTTGTGCTTCTGGTACGGGGAGAGGGAAAAGGAACCATTTTGAAATACACCAGAGCACTCTGGGTTTTTGTTTGTTTAACAAGGACTGCCCTTGGGGGAGACTGGTTAAGCAGAGCCTAACCTGCTGGGGTATTATCAGAGACTAACTGACCTGGGAGGAGGGAAACACCCAACTTCAGCCCACTCTAACCAATCCTGTCCCACCTAAGGAGGGGGAAGAAAACTGAGAAGGACTTGTGAAGTTCACCATCCAGAAACACAGGCTTACTAAAAGACTGAGACCTAGTCATAGTACTAGAGCATATACTTCCCCTCCTCTCACATCTTATTACCATTGCATTACTAAAAGCCTATTGACAGCAGTTTCTTTTATGTGTACATCATGTCTGGCTATCAAAAAGAAATTATAAGATTCACTAAGAAGCAAAAATCACAATTTGAAGAGATAGATCAAGCATCAGAACCACACATGGCAGAGATGTTGGAATTAATCAGATTGGGAGTTTTAAACAACTATGATTATATGCCTAGGGCTCTAATAGATAAAGTAGATGGCATGTATGAACAGATAGACAACGTAAGCAGAGATATAGGAATCTTAAGAAAAAACCAAAAAGGTATTCTACAGATGAAAAAGCGCTGTAACAGAAATGAAGAATGCCTTTGATGGGCTTTTGGTAGACTGGATACAACTGCGGGAAGAATCTTAGAGCTTGAAAATTTATCAATAGAAACCATCAAAACTGAAAAGCAAAGAGAACAAAAAGTGGAACAAAAAACAGAACAGAATATCCAAAAACTGTGGGACAACTACAAAAGGTGCAACATGCGCATAATGTTAAGTACAGATGGAGAAGAAAAGAATAGAAAAGAATAGAAAAAAAAATTGAAATAATAGTGATTAAAGATTTTCCCCAAATAAATGTCAGACACCAACCCACAGATCCAAGAACCTCAGAGAGCACCAAGCAGATTAAATGCCAACAACTAGACATATAATTCTCAAACTATAGAAAATCAGAGATAAAGAAAAAGTTCTGAAAGAAACTAGTAGGAAAAAAAAAAAAGAATATATTATTAAGCTAAAAGAACTAGTTATAGGACAGATAAAAGGAAAGATTTGATGAACTAGAATGTTTGGTTCTACCAAAGCAAAAGATGTGTGTTGCAGTGATACATAGGTGACTAAAGAGAGTTGTGGGAGATGGGGCTGAAATACCTCAAAGGCCTTGTTCAAAATGCTAAAGAAGTTAGATTCTGACTTACAGAATTCTGAACACTGGTATGATAAGATGTTTTTTTAAAAAGATCATTCTCATAGCCATTTGGATAACAGGAAGACCAATAAACACACTGCTATAATCATCCAAATGAGATGGTACAGCTAATGCTAAGTGATTGTGAGGATGAAGATACACTAGACCAAGGAGAATTTGTAGGATTGGTCATTGCTAGATAAGAGGGAAGGGTGGGTGAGGAAGGGAAAGGAATCTCAAGTAACTGTCACCTTTATGTCTTGGGCAAGTGGGTCTAAGGGGTGCCATTAATTCACCGAGAAGAGGACTAGTTCCAGGAATAGGAGTAAAGGGGAGAGATTACAGCTTAGCTTAATTCAGTTGGCTATGTTGACTTGGAAGTACCTATGAGACCACCATGTGAAGCTACTCACAGCCAACTGGGATCTGGGGTTCAAGAGAAAATCAGAGCTGGAGATATATTTGGAAGTTATCATTAAGTGTGTGATCTGTTTACTACATAGATAGATGTTCGGGTACTATGCTGCTTAACAGGTTACTATGCCAAGTTAACAGATATTACCCTCTTGTGTTTGGTTATCATCAGAGTAGGCAACCAACATCCTCTGGAAAAAATAATCCTTTTAACATACTATTAAAGATGAATTAAAAACTAGATAGATAGATAGTTTTGATTCCTATGTTCTTATTGCAGTTCAGTGGATGTCACTGTAAGCATAATCTGAAGTAAATGAATAAAAAGTGAAATTTACTAATTTTTATTTAATGAGTTGTCTTTCCACCACTGAAATTCTCTAAAATAATTAATAGAATACTCTTTCCTGCTCATTTCTGGCTCTAAAGCTGCAACTGACCTTTTGTCTATAGTTACTTACTGAGTGTCATTAGCATCGAGAATCTGAAAGTATAATGTTTTTGTCCAATCTATTTATTCTAAATAAGTCTGGAGTGACTCCAGACCTAGATGGCAATATAGGAGGCTCCTGAATTACTCTCCTCTCAGCTGCCAAATGTAGCAGTATGCATGGAGTAATTCCCTCTGAGAGAACCAGAAACTAGCTGAGTGACTCCTACACATTGGGCAACTGAGAAAATACCTACAGTGAATTGAATAAGAAAGGCTAAGACACAGTCTCACCATAAATTCCACCCCTGGCACAGCACCAATCAATCAAAGGGAATTCCCAACTCTCAGATTCTCCTAGAGAGTGAAGGGTTTGGAGTACATATCTAGTGCCTCAGCTTTTAAGTCTCCCCCACCCCACAGGGAGAGGCTCCCCAAACACCTAGCTCTGAGAGCATATGGGGCTTGGGTTCCTGAGTCCCACAGAACTATAGAAAACAAAGAAGCAGTTCTTAACAGGCAGAGAGCACTCATTGTGGCTGTCTGCCAAGGCTCAGTGCAGAGGAAACCAGCAAAAATGCCCATCTCCCAGTCTTTGCTTGGAAGCAGTTTGACTGCATACTTTCCAAATTGCTGGGGGTCCAGCTTCTAATTAGCACACCTCTAAGTTCTGACTGCACTCCTTCTCAGAGCTGAGCAAGCTGATGGGCACTGCCCCCATCTTCTCCCTCAGACTTGCTCCAATGATAAAACCAGGTCATCAGCATCTCTTTGGAAAGAGCTTATATATATGTCTGGTGCCATGGCTTTTGTGGCTACTGCCCAAGGGACAAGTCCCCAGATCACTGGGCTCTGATAGCCAACGTGGCTTGCATTCATGAGTCCCACAGGACTATAGATGATTTAAAAAGTTGTTTTTAATGGGTGTGTGTATGTAAGCACTCCCTGTGGCTGTCCCCCCAGGGCTCAGTGCAGAGGGAGCAGGCAAAAACACCCATCTCCCAGTCTTTTGCTGGAAGGGGACTGACGCATCCTTTTAAGCCCTTGCCTTAGCGTCCAGCTTCTAATTAGCACACATCTAGCGGATGACCGTGGTCCTCCCTGAAGCCCACTTTCTCCCTCCAGCTCACTCCAACAATAAAACCAAGTTGCCAGTATCTCACTGAAAGAGGCTTATATACACATCTAATGCTCCAACTTTTATCGCTGCCACCCAAAGGACAGGCCCCCAAATCACCTCGCTTTGAGAGTAAACCAGGCTTGGATTCATGAGTCCAACAGGACTATAGCAAACAAATACACAGTTTTTAAATGGGCACGGGAGCAACCCCCAGCAGCTATACACCCAGGCTCAGCAAAGAGGGAGCAGGCAAAAATGCCCATCTCCCAGTTTCTCCATGAAATGGCCTTGACTGCATACTTTCCCAGCTGGTATTTGAGGGTCCAGCTTTTAATCAGCTTGCATCCAGGTGCTGACTGTAATCTTCTTTGGGACACTAAAGAGACCCACACTGAGACACATTATAACTAATTTGTCAAAAGTTAAAGACGATTTAAGATTTCAAAAGCAGCAAGAGAAAAATAACTAGTTATGTACGAGGGAGCCCTCAGAAATCCATCAGCAGATATTTCAGAAGTGAGTGGGGTGATATATTCAAAAGAAAAAAAACCTAACCGAGAAAACTTTACCTGGTAGAGTTGTCCTTTAGAACCCAGTTATAGGCTGCCTATAAGAGACTCACTTCAACTTCAACTTCAACTTCAAGGACACACATAGACTGAAAGTGAAGGGATGGGAAAAGACATTCCATGGAAATGGAAACCAAAAGGAAGCACAGGTAGCTATATTTACATCAGACAAACAGACTGTAAGCCAAAAACAGTAATAAAAGACAAAGTCATTACAAAATGATTAAGAGTATATACCAACTGTAAATATTTATATACCAAACATAGAGCACTTAAATATATAAAACAAATATGAACATTATTTCTGAATGGAGAAATAGATAGCAATACAATAATAGTAGGAGACTTCAGTATTCCCCTTTAATGGATAGATCTAAACAAAAACTCAACAAAGAAACAGTGGATTTACATACATTTACAGAACAGTCCATCCAACATCAGAATACATATTCTTAAGTACACATGAAAATTACCAGATGGATCATATATTAAGCAACAAAACAAGTCTTAATAAATTTAAGAAGATTGAAATCATATCAAGCATCTTTTCCAACCACAATGGTATGAAACTAAAAATCAATTAGAAGAAAAAACTGGTAAATTTATGAATATATGGAAATTAAACAACATGTTCTTGAAGAATGGGTCAAATATGAAATCAAAAGAGAAATTTAAAAATTTTCTTGACTTATCACAAGGAAAAAATTGTAACTATGTAAGATGATGGGTGTTAACTAAACTTATTGTGGTAATCACTTCAGAATATATACATATATCAAATCATTATGTTGCACACCTTATATGTCAATTATATCTCAGTAAAACTAGGAAAAAAACTTGAAAGAAAAAATCTTCAGACAAATGAAAATAGAAACGCAACATGTCAAAACTTATGAGATTCAGCAAAAGCAGTTCTAATAGGGAAGTTCATAGCAATCAACAGCTACATTAAGAAAAAAGAAAGCTCTCGAATATAAAATGTAATTTAACATCTCAAGGAACTAGAAAGAAACACTAAGCCCAAAGTTAGAATGAAGGAAATAACAGAGATCAGAGCAGAAATAAATGAAATAGACAAAAAAGACAATAGAAAAGATCAAGCTAAGGGCTGTTTTTTAAAATAGATAAAAAACAAATCTTCAGCTAAGAAAAAGAGAAAGACACAAATAAAATCAGAACTGAAAGAGAAGATATTACAACTGAACACAGAAATACTGAGAAACTACAGTTGACCCTTGAACAACATGGGTTTGAACTGTATGGGTTCACTTATACATGAATTTTTTTCAGTTGACTGTAGTTCAATTGACCCAAGCATTTCAAACCCAAGTTGTTCAAGGGTCAGCTCTGTGTTTGGGAATCCACATATACATAGGGCTGACCGTGGCTACATGTGGATTTGTGACTGCTCAGGAGGTTGGCACTCCTAACTATTGTGTTGTTCAAGGGTCAGCTGTACTATGAACAATTATATTTCAACGAATTAGATAACCTAGAAGAAATAGACAAATTCCTAGAAGTATACAACCTAACAAGACTGAATCATAAAACAAAAATCTGAACAGACTGATTACTTGTAAAGAAATTTGAATCAGTGATCAAAAACCTCCCCAAAAAGAAAAGCCCAGGACTAGAAGGGTTACTGTGAATTCTACCAAAAATTCAAGGAAAAATTAATACCAATTTTCTCAAACTCTTCCAAAACATAAGGAGTGAACACTTCAAAACTCATTTTATGAAGCCAGCATTACTCTGATACCAAAACCAGACAGTGACATTACAAGAAAAGAAAATTACAAGCCAATATTCCTGATGAATATAGATGCAAAAAAATCCTTAAGAACATATTAGCAAACAAAATTTAACAGTACATTAAAAGAATCCTACACCATGATCAAGTGGGATTTATTCCTAGGAATGCAAGGATGTTTCAACATATACGAATCAATAAATGTGATATATTGCCTTAACAAAATGAAGGATAAAAATCATATGGTCATCTCGATAGATGCAGAAAAAGCATTTGACAAAACTCAGCATCGTTTCATGATAAAAACTCTCAACAAATTTGGTATAGAATGAATGTATTTAAAAATAACAAAGGTCATAAATGAGAAGCCTACACATAACATCATACTCAGTGGTGAAAAGCTTAACGCTTTCCATTAAGATCAGAAATAACACAAGGATGCCCACTCTCACTACTTTTATTCAATATAGTACTGGAAGTCATAGCCAGAGCAATAAGGCAAGAAAAAGAAATAAAAAGTACCCAAATTTGAAAAGAAAATGTAAAATTGTGTCTGTTTGTAAATGACATGATCTTATATATATAAAACTCTGAAGATGCCACCAACGCGCCCCCCCCAAAACTATTAGAACTATGAAAATGAAAACAGTAAGTTGTAGGATGCAAAATCAATATACAAATATCAGTTCATTATCACTTCATTAACAATACAAATATCAGTTCAATATCAGTTCAAATATCACTTCATTAACAATAAATCAATATACAAAAATCAGTTGCATTTCTATACATTAACAACGAAGTACTGGAAAGAGAAATGAAGTAAATAATCCCATTTATAATAGCATCGAAAAATACTTAGGAGAAAATTTAACCAAGGAGATAAAAGATCTGTATACTGAAAACTATAAAACACTGATGAATGAAATTGAAGAAGACACAAATAAATGGAAGAATGCTCTATGTCCATGGATTAGAAGAATTAATATTGTTAAAAGGTCCATATTACCCAAAGCAATCTACAGATTCATGCAATCTCTATCAAAATTCCAAAGGCATTTTTCATAGAAAGAGAAAAAACAATCTTAAAATTCATATGGAACCATAAAAGACCCCAAATAGCTAAAGCAATCTTGAGAAAGAAGAAACAAAGCTGGAGGCATCATACTTCCTGATTTCAAACTATATTACAAATCTCTAGTAATCAAAACAGGATGGTATTGGCATTAAAAAAAAAAAAACCCACATAGATCAATGGAACAGAAGAGAACCCAGAAAAAAAATCTATGCATATATGGTCAATTAGTTTTCCACAAAGGAGCCAAGAATATACAATGGGGAAAAGACAGTCTCTTCAATAAATGGCACTGGGAAAACTATATCCACATGCAAAAGAATGAAATTGGACCCCTTTCTTATACCATACACGAAAATCAACTCAAAATGGATTAAAGACATGAATGTAAGACCTAAAACCTTAAAATTCCTGGAAGAAAAATTAGGAGTAAGCTCCTTGACATTGGTCTTAGCGATGGTTTTTTGTTTGATGCCAAAAGCAAAGGCAACAAAAGCAAAAACAAACAAGTGAGACTTCATCAAACTAGAAAGTTTCTGCACAGAAAAGGAAACCATTAACAAAATGAAGTCAATCTATAGAATGGAAGAAAATATTTGCAAACCACATATCCGATAAGGGGTTAATATCCAAAATATACAAGGAATTTATAGGAATTTATACAATTAAACAGCAAAAATATAATATTAACAAAAATTTTAAATCCAGTTAAAATATCGGCAGAGGAACTCAATAGACATTTTTCCAAAGAAAACATTTAAATAGCCAACAGGTACATGAAAAGGTGCTTAATGTCACTTATTAGCAGGCAAATGCAAATCAAAACCACAATGATATATCACCTCACGCCTGTTAGGATGGCTATATAAAAAAAAGACAAGAGGTAGCAAATGCTGGCAAGGATATGGAGAAAAGGAAACCCTTATACACTATTGGTGGTAATGTAAAATGGTACAGGCAGCATGGAAAACAGTATAGAGGTTCCTGAAGAAATTAAAAATAGAACTACTGTATGATTCAGCAATCTCAGTTCTAGTTATATATCCAAAGTTGATGAAATCACTATCTGTACACCCATGTTCATGGCAGCATTATTCACAGTACTCATGGTATGGAAACAACCTATGTGTCCACTGATGAAGGAATGGATAAAGAAAATGTGGTATATATATGCCATAAAATATTATTTATCCTTATAAAAGAAGCAAATCCTGGTATTTGTAACAACATGGATGAATAATTAAGCTAAGTGAAATAAGTGTCACAAAGATAAATATTGCATGGTATCACTCATATGTAGAATCCAAAAAAAATTTTTTTTTAATTGAACTCATAGAAACAGAGTAGAATAATTGTTGCCTGGGACTCGTGGGTGGTGGAAATAGGGAGAGGCTTGGATAAAGTTAGAAGCTTTCAGATATAAGATGAATCAGGTCTGAGGTTCTAATGTATAACATGTTAACTACAATTGATAATACCATGTTATATGAAATTTGCTAAGAGTAGAACTTAAGTGCTCTCACCAAAAAAAAAAAAAAAAAAGGCAAATTGTGAGGTGGTAGATATGTTAATTAACTCAATGTTGGAAATCCTTTCACAATGTCCATATACATCAAATCATCACATTGTATACTTTAAATATATTACAATTTTGTCAATTATACTTCAATAAAGTGGAATAAATAAATATATAAATAAGCCTGAGCTGTTCTCCTTTCTCAAGAGGAAAGTGGCTCTGTAATACTGCTTCACTTTTTAGAATAAATTCAATTCTCAATCACATTACAAGACATAAGTTTTGCCTCAGTGATGTTTGGAAATTCCCAAAAGGATGATGGTTAGGAATTGGACACTGATACAGGGTTTCTTGGTAGCATTATCTTGGGCATGAATGAGAAAATACACTTAATTTGTCTTATTTAACTGGTCATTGTGATCGGATCCATTTACAGGTTTTTGTTTTCATTTTTTTCCAGCTGCTTGGTAAACTTATTGATACATCTTGTTGTATTGTTTTTATCTGACCCATTATATCTCTCTCTGGCTTTTCATTTCAGTACTTCTCTGAATGGTACCAACCCTCCTTCTTTTTCCGGTCCCTGGCAAGATAACGAGTTCAGTGCCATAGCCCTTGCTAACTGCTGTGAACTCTACACCAATGCGTGTGTACCTAAGGCTGGTCCATTTCCATAATAGTCTTGATCTTTACAGCTTTTTGATGGTAAAAGTATTTATGTACCCAAGAGTTCCCACTCTTCAACTAACTCACCATGATCTTTAACTGTAAATGTGAAAATTTTATATTGGTTCACTGTATGCCAATAAAGAAAAATAGCATTTGTCTTTCCATTATTTGGCTGAACCAAATAGGAAATTTCTATGAGCTCTGTCTGAGCTTATATGTGAAATAATAAACATTACTATATCAAAAACATGTCTTGCAAATCTTGCTTGTAGTTACCATGTTAAAATTATGTGATTTAGTCTGCTATAAATGTGATTTGGTATGTAATATGTACTGAGGTAAAAAGTTGTTTTTCCTGGAGTTTTGTGGATGAGCTAAGTTTATGGTACTAAGTGTATATATAAAAATTACATGAGTATTTAATAAAGTTTTTTCTGATTGTCACACATTTGTAAACCTGCAAACTCCTTAACATCATCACATGGTAAACGAGAAGTATTCCAGTATGCAAACTTGTAAGGAATGTCCATTTCTTAACGGCCCTTACTTTGTTTTAGTATTCTGCTTGAGTGCCATATTTGCTTCATGTTTACAGGGAATCCTTTAAAACAGTGGTTTTCAGTGGGAAGGAGGGGGCAATTGTGCCTCCCAGGGGACATCTGGCAATGTCTTAACACATTATTAGTTGTCACAACTGGGGAAGGGGGGTACTGATATCTACTGGGTAGAGGTCAGGATTGCTGCTAATCATCCTACAATATACAGGTTAGCCCCCAAAACACAGAATTCTCTGGCCCCAAATGTCAAAAGTGCTAATATTGGGACATTCTGGTTGTAAATATTTAATATATTTCCTATATTTAATATTATTTATAATACTAATATTATAGCCTTAAAGAAGAGTTTCAAAAAGATGTAGGGTTCCTCAAAAATTTAAACAATAAATTACCCCATGGCTGCACAATCCCATTCTTAGATATGTATCCAAAAGAACTGAAAACAGGTATTTAGACAAGTACATGTACATGCATGTTCATAGCAGCACTATTCAAAATAGTCAAAAGACAGACACAGTCCAAGTGTCTATCAGTGGCTGAATGGATAAAAAAATTGTGTTATATACACACAATGGAATTTTATTCAGCCATAAAATGCATGAAGTGGAACTTAGACAAGATTATGCTAAGTCAAAGAAGCCAGACACAAAGGCTTATTTTCATATGATTCTATTTTATATGATTCCATTTATATGAAATATTCAAATGAGATAAATCTATAAAGACAATACAAATTGATGGTGTCAAGGTTTGGGGGAGTGGGAAATAGGAGTGACCACTTTGCGAGTATGTGGTTTTACTTTGGGGTGATGGAAATGTTTTGGAACTAGAGTTGGTATTTGCACAACACTGTCAGTGTACTAAACATCACTCATTTGTTCACTTTAAAATGATTAACTTTATGTTATGCGAATTTCACCTCAATAAATTATATATATTTTTAAAAACATGTAGATACTTGTATGTTCCCTTAGCTAATCTACCTTCTCACGCTTCACACTTACCTGAGCTCAGAACCTCTTGGTCTTCTTTCCAGTCTTCAGTCCTACCTCCTATTTTCCAAAGTTGAAATCAAAGAAAATGAAGCTTCAATGAACTGCTTCTTGATCTACGCACTGATTTTGACCCTAGCCTGGTTTCTTTCTGAGAGGCAGCAGAATGCAGTGGTTGGTGGAACTGGATACTAGGCCAGATTACTTGGGCTCTGATTCAGGCTCACTTATCTCTGGGCAACTTTCTTAACTTCTCTGTGCCTTAGTATCCTCATATATAAAGTGGGGATAATGGGATCTACCTTATAGGTAAAGATTGGCTGTTCACCGTAATAAGACCAATGTAAGGGTTTGATACTATTATTTCTATTTAAGGAGCTCAGTTCCCGGCTATCAATTTGAGTTGCCCATGCAATTTAGTTGACACAAGGAAGCAGGCAGCACGGAGGGAGCTCCTAATCTCCTTTCAGGGGGAAGGGCTGGCTTTCTAATTCTATTTCCCATTTAAAGCAAATCCAGTCTAAACTCGCGCATTTAAAAGGCCTCGCTGTAACATAAGAAAGCATGACAATCTTTAACACCATCACCTGCAGAAGAGTCTCACAAACAAGAGCGAACAAGAAAGGCCGGACTCAATGCGACGTTGGCAAAAGCAACACCAGCTCCTGGGGCCAAAAGGGGCCCTAAGGCGAGCATCAAGGTGACCTGGGTGGAAGAGGGCCGGGTAGGCCGGGTTCGGTTGCGAAGCGAGGGTCAATCCTGGGAGGCGCGATCTGTCAAACTGGGGCTCCATCCTGGGGGCGGGGCCAACTAGCGGACTTCGCCATCTGGTAGCGGACACGGCGCATGCGCTTGGCTTCTAGGCGCCTCAGGCAGAGAGAGAGGAAACTGAGGAAGAAAGTGGTAAGAGGAAAGACAGGGAGGACGAGGAGAAATGGGAGTTGTGAAATAGGGCTGTGTTGGGATGTGGGAGTAGCCGTGTGGAAAGGGGACCATGGGATGAGGAAAGGAGAGTGGCCGGCTGAGTCACTGAGTGGGTAAAATCTGTTCTCTTAAACACTAACCATAAAGTCTCCCATGTGCATATTGTTTCACAACTTCCCGTTTTTGCTTAAGGTATGTGAACGTCTTTTTAGGCTAGTATATATGGCTCCACCTCATTCATTTTACTGGCTACATGGTATTCTATGTAAGGAGGTACCTATATTATCTGTTTCTCTATTAATGACCATTTAGATCAACTTATATTTAACCAATCATCTCTAGAAGCCTAACAGGTAGACAGAGTTTGTATTTGACTCCCACTTCTGACTCTTCTTTAGATGCCAGACTATTCTTGGTGAAAGTCCTTGGCTAAGCTATTAGTTGTCAAGCATTTAAAAGGTTATCTCCTCTGTGGGAGTAATTGACTTTTAAGACAGGAATAAAAAGATTAAGAGCTAAAAGATCTGGATTCAGAGTCCTGGCCTGAGTCTCTTTCCAGCCCTGTGAAAATTCTTAATCTTTCTGAAGCTCAGTTTCCACTTCTGCATAATGAAGGTGTAGATACTCATATCTATCTTACAAGTTGCTAGAAAATTAAATTAATAATGTATATGAAAAAAACACAGTCTACAGCCATGCCACCTTGAACGTGCCCAATCTTGTCTGATCTCGGAAGCTAAGCAGGAGTGGGCCTGGTTAGTACTTTGGATGGGAGACTACCTTGGAATACCAGGTGCTGTAGGCATTTAAAAAAAAAAATTGTATAAATAGTAATAAGGTGCTCCAAAGATATTCTTTTCACAAGTAGTTAAAGTGGAAGGACTTTAGAGAGCCTTTATTCCTTTATACGTGAACATTCACTCAGCACTTATCACACTCCTGGCATTGCTTAATGATATTTACATGTTTGTTCCCTCCGTCCGCCCCCTCACCCCCCATTTAATCCATGCAACAAGCTTTTAAGCAAGGTATTATTATTATCTCAGTTTTCCAAAGGCGGAAAGATAGGCTTAGAGAGATTAAGTTGCTTAGAGAGATTAAGAGTCACATAGTGACAGAGCTGGGATTTGAGCCCAGAGTCTGTGTAACTCCAAAGACCTTGCTCTTAACCACTGTGTCTGTTCTCATACCATCCCAGCCTTCCTGGCCTTCCTTATGCTTGCTCCAGTCCAGTGCCTCAAGGTCCACTTGTTTAACCCAAGTGACCTCATCAGCTTCTAACATATTTATACTTTCTGAATTACTTGTGTACAAATCATGTCCTGCTGTGTGGCATCTTGTATTTTTGTCTTACTTTGCTGTTTGTCTTATTGTTGTCTTCTATTACAGCAAGTAGAAAAATGGTTGCCATGAAATCTAGCAATTTCCTCAAAGACAAAATTATCTTTATTTAACAAGTTACTTTTTTCAACTCTTTGAATATGGAGCTTCACGTGGGAAGAGATCAAATCTATTTCATTACTAAAATTTGTCTTGTTACTAGGAGCTAGCACTGCCTAGCAAAAAAAAAAAAAAAAAAAAAAAAGCGTTAATATTGGTTGAGGAATAAAAAAGATGAAACTCCAAGATTTGGGCCTGAATACCTGGGATAAAACAAAGGGAGAAAAAATGCTAAATGAAACAACATATATAAAGCGTGATACTGCCTGGTACAAAATAAGCTTTTAATTAGTGTTATTATTATTACATAAATAAAGTAGAAATGGGGTGGGACTTATGAGTAGCAGGTAGAAAAAGGAAAGGTAAAAGAAGAAATGGAACAAAACGATGCTGAGCTAGGCCATTTGTGAAGAGATGGCCAGTGAGGGTTTCTCAAAGGCAGAAGTGGGCAAAAGGCATTTAGGAACAGGGTTACTTGATATTTACCCTATTGTAACTCCACCAGCTTTGTCCTCAAATCTTCAGTAAAAGTCTGCCAGTGATATTTTGAAGAATTCAAAAATCCAGGCTATGTTCAACATCAGTGGTGTTGTGTTGGTAGTCCAGATAGCAGAGATAGAGCAGTCAGCAGAAGGAGTAAAACAGAGCCACAGAGTATAAAGAGAGAGGTAAGGTGTCCAAGAAACCTCAGGAATATTGTGAACAATGCTGAGTTTTCTCATTTTATGTAGAATGGGGGTTCAAGACAATTTCCACTAAATCTTAAAGGATGGGGGATTCTCCAGTAGGCTGGAGGACTTTGGGGACATCAAGACAGCTAAACCTTGAGTAAGACATCTGTGATTATTCTATGTAAGTTGTTTTTATGTCATGTCCTCCCAGCCGTATTGCAAATTTTTGCAACTGTGAATGATGAGAAGCGAGTTGAATTTGTATGACATTTTTTAAATGTATGAATATCTTTTCTTTACATTGACTCATTGGAACTAACAAAACTTTTTGTGGTAAGTATGATAGCATCACTTCCCCCTACTCCATTTTAAATGTAGATAGAGAGAGGTTAAGTATACTTGCCCTTGCTTACAGAGATAACAGGGACCTGACCCAGCCTAGTGTAGTGAAAAGGACATGGTTTAATAAGGCTTTTCATTATCTGGGTAACATCTAGCTTTCCAATCTCTTACCATAATCTCCCTTGTCACCCACTCATCCATGTACATAATCACCACACAGAGCTACTGACTTTCGCTAAGAAATCTACACCTAAGTGACTTTGAATGAGGTACCTAACCTCTTGGAGTCTCTATTCTCACAGTTATACAAATGAAGATAATAATGACTTCATTAAAGGGTTGTTGTAGAAATTAAAAGTCTTTAAAGCATTTGGAATATAGAGATGTTTAAGGAATTTTCTCTTCTTTCCTTAGTTCTCTGGCTTTCTTTCTCTTTCATATATCCCAACTTAAAGTTCAACACTTTCTGCATAACTGTACCATA